CAAGGACGAAAACTCGACTCTTCGCCGACGACACTGCAATCTGGTCATCCCACAAATCCCCTTCCGTCGCCGCCCACCGCCTCCAAACCCAACTCCGACACATAGAAAATTGGACCAACACCTGGAGAATCAAACCTAACCCCATAAAATCCCAATCCATCACCATGTCATACAGAAATTCAAGACGAGCACGAACCCAACCCATCCAACTTCTCCTCAACAACCAACAAATTCCCCATTCAAAATCCATCAAATACCTTGGCATAACTTTTTCCCACACATGTTCTCTCGCCCCAGACATCCATGAAACCCTCAAAAAAGTCCGAAACCGAGCCAACCTCCTCTACCTAATCCGCGGCCGTCTTCACGGCTGCMGTCCAAAAACCCTTCTCCACACCTACAACTCATTCATCCGTCCCGTCATCGAATATCGTGCTCCAATCTATGCCTCTCTTCCCCCCACCCAACTCCTTCAAATAGCCGACACCGAACGCCACATCCTTCGCAAAATCTTCCGTCTAGATTTTCAATATCCCAGCCGCCTCATTCACACAACCACTCAAACCACTCCAATCACCGAACGCCTCACCAAACTCCAAAAATCCTATGTTTCTCGAACACTAAACAGTACAAATCAAATTGCCATCCAAACTCTCCACACCTCCTTCAAATATCCATTCACCAACCGTCTCAGCAACAGAATTCCAAAAGTTCCCAAACTAAAATACCGCCACCCACCCACCACTCTTCTTCAACCTTCTTACAATACCCTTCCACCCATTCTCCAGGAACTGATTGACGAAACTCCACTTTCTATGCGTTAACCTTTTCTCCTAACCTTTTCTCCTTCGACCAGATTGCAACGAACAACAACCAAGACCATCGCCCTCCGGACTCACCGCCCACATGATGACACCAYTCCCTAATTTTAATTTAGATTAACCTAGTATTAAGCTACAATATTTAAGAACCCCATGTTAGTTAGTTTARGTCCATTTTGTAATATCTTAAGTAAAAATTAATTTTCACATGCTGAAAAGGCCCTAAGCCTCAGCAGCGTCTTTTTCCCTTGTAACCACAGATATAAGTTTTAAACTGTATAACCAAACAATAAACGATTGTTAAATTGGAAATTGGACGTCATTCGTGATGCCGTTACCTACACCGAACACGCCAAACGTAAAACTGTCACCGCCATGGATGTCGTTTACGCTTTAAAACGTCAGGGTCGTACACTTTACGGTTTTGGAGGGTAAAAAGTGTTTAGTTGTTTTGATGATTTCCACCACCTACCTATATCTACGAAGCGGCGAACCTACAGTTTTCTTTCTTCTTTATTGTTTCATCAATCAATTCATAGCATTTTAATTTTTGGACAAAAAAAAAAACAAAACGGTTCTTTTCAGAACCACAAAAATTTTCTAAACAAATGAAAAAAATCTTTTCACAAAAAAAAAATATATACGAAGACAAAATAAAACAAAAAACTCAAGAATACAGATATATGGTATTATGCAGCATATGTTTTCTGTGTCTACCTCTTAATACCTCTTAGGTATTAGTTGAGCACAGGATTGATATGTACAGGGGTTGTTTTGAAATGATTTACATCTAGTCGCCTACAGAAAGAAAGTTTGACAATTTTTATAAATTGGAGTCCTTGAATTTAGGTATTCATCGGTCAGGGTCTTTATTATCAATGACTCAACGTGTATTATTACTATAATTAAATTGTTTTTGATCTGTATGTCGATAACCTTTCTCGTGCCAA